AGACAGAGGGAAAGTGAGAAATGACCCCCAGGGGATGGCCACAGGGCAATCTCTTCTCCATTTCTGTGTGATCATCCCCCCAAGATGAATTCTCACTTTCCCTCTCTTTCTCTGTCCCCCTCTAGCGAGCACATGTAACCTATGGCAAATACTTTAAAGCATTATCTCTGTATCATATAAAACTATTATAATTCCTAAAAGAAATGAAGCCTAGTTAGTCTCCATAAATAAGTTATTCTCTTTCTGAAGACCCATCCAAACTAAAAAGCAGGGTGTGAAAAATAGATGTGTCAAGATTGGAAAAAATATTAATAATTGTTTAAATTGAGTAATGGGAACATAGATTTCTTTATAATATTCATTCTATTTTCGTATACTTAAAAATATGTTCAAATAAATCACTAAAAAATAATCTCACTACAGATGTTTTGGAGTCTTTCCATAAGCTCCCAAAGACATAACCTCGTACTCCTTCACTAGAACTGGGGCCATGGTTGGCACTCCAAGCACACTGCATTAGGCAGAGTGGCCCCCAGAGATCCACATCCTGACCCTGGGAGCCAATAAATACAGAGACTTCAAAAAGTGTGTGGAAAATGGAATTAACGAACAAGCTTATTTTGGTGCCAAAAAAACTGGAAATCCTTATATAAATTTTCTATAATATGTATTTTCCACAAACCTGTAAACTCTACGTATGCTGCTTATATGGCAAGAAGGACTTTCCAGATGTGATTTCAGCAACAGGCCCTAAAAGCATCTCTTCTGTCTCCAGCTGGAGAAAGGTCTCTGCTTGTAGGGACTCATGATCTAAAACTAACTTTTTTTAATTAAAAGAGAAAGAAAGGAAAAGACCAGAAGATGACTATAGCCCTAGCATGCAGAGCATGCGAGAACAGAAAAGGGAACGGAGAGAGTGGACAGAAGATCCCCCAAGGACGTGGGCTCAGATCGTTGGCCTGGTGCTGGTCTTGGGGCACAGGCAAGTGAAGCAGTTGCTGAGAAAAGGGCAAGTTAGGAACTTCTGAACCCATCGTTTCAAACTTCTAGGCTCCCTGTGAAAAACCAACAGAGGAGGACCAGCAGTTAGCATAATGGCTATGTCGCTGGATTCCCATGTGGTAGGCCACGGTTCGCCTCTCAGGCCCCAGTTGCTTAAAACTCACACTGGGCATGTGTGCATCCATGCCCAAGATCCTGAGAGGAGAATGGAGGAGAAGGGATTGTGGTGTGGCCATCCATTCTGGGGGGTGATTTCTCACCTTCTGTCTCTCTATCTCTGTCTTTCTGGCAAGCATATGCACCTTACAACAAAAACCTCTCCAAAAAAAAAAGAAGAACAAAACCAATGGAGGGGGTCCAGCAGATGGGCGTGATGGTAGATGGGCATGATGGTTATGGCACTGGACTCCCACACACTGACTGTGTTTCAAATTATGGACGAGGCACGAATATGTGCATGCCGAAAATCCTAAGAGGAGACTGGAGGAGAAGTGATTGTGCCATGCCCATCTCCCCTAGGGGATGATTTCTCCCTTTCCGTCTCTCCAAGAAGTACATACACCTTATAGCAAACTTATCTCCAAAAAAATATAGAGGGGGCCAGCAGATGGTATGATGGTTAGGGCACTGGACTCCCACATGGTCGAGTACGGTTCGAGTTCCAGACTTGATAACTTGCTTTCTCTTTCTCCCTCTCTCTCTCTCTCTCTCTCTCTCTCTCTCTCTCTCTCTCTATGGCAAGTACATGTGCCCTTTGGCAAAAAAAATTTTTAAATAGATATAAACCTTAGTTTTGTCCTACATCAGCTTCATACCATTGCAAATGACTTAAATGCTGTTAATACCCCTCAGAAGGAGGCTGCCTCTTGCATCTCTGTAGAACGAGGTAACAGTCCCTTTATTACAGCTAAAACCTCAATAAATGCTATATTTTTTAATTTAAAGAATTATTTAATTTTTTATCATTATTATTTTTAATTTGCTATAGGGCACAAGTGTTCACCAGAGAGAGAGAGAAAGAGGAAAGGTAAGAGAGCAAGCTGCAGGTCTGAGACTGAAACCGAAGTTGACCATGTGGGAATCCAGTGCCTCAACCACAACCACCACTCCACCTGCTGGCCCCCAAGAAATACTCTCTTCAAAAAAATATAAATAAAATAAAATTGGGTCTTGATGACAAAATTAGATGTTTTGGTTTTTCTTGATGATTTGAGGAAAATTTTTTTGGATATGCAAAAAGATATTAATTTTTAACATCTATTTTTATAGAACACATGCTTTTTTTATTGTACCATTGTACATCTTTACAGTGTACAACATGTTTTTTCCAGGCATGAATACAATGCATATCAGTGAAGTCAAAGCCATCACCATGTATATTAGTAGCAACAGATAACTTTTCATTTTTCAGGCTATTAAGTGTTTTCTTTTTTCCAAGGAAATGTTCTATGAAATTGTTGAGATAAACTGATCATTTTTAGGACTCATCTAGCCCTGAGTCCATTATCCACAAGAGATGCCAAAATTTTCCCTTTTGCTTTACTGAGGCAAGAATGTCAGGGGAAACATGCCCACAGAGAGTTTCTAGTGTCTCTTGATAACTAATGTCCACTGAGGTTTATTATCAGAATGGAGAACAAGCCCCACAGGTTTGTAAACAGAATAAGAACACTTCCGTAACTATTAATTTAAAATAAAATAGGTTTCTGCATCTAAAAATATGTGAGACCCTTCTAATCAGACACACACTGAGTGATCAGCATCTGTGAGAGACGAGAAATACTGAATACCGAGGGGGTGCCCACACTAAGCCCATTCACGCGGAGGTCGGAGGGAAGGAAAGAGCAAGCCAAGAGGGCTCCACTCTAGAATATCGACATTGTCTAATGTAGGTGAGACTGGTCTTTGTCGTCTAATCCATTTAATCTTTTTGCCCTACTCCATGACTGTTGTTTCTTATGCAAAGTTGTGTACTAAAAATAAATATGTAAATAAACTGACACAGTTTAATACTAATATAATTGGTGTACATTTTTGTGAAAAACAGGTGTACTGTTTGCATTGGCGGACATTTCCATTAGTTAAAAATATGTATGTACCAGCATAAAAATATTGAAATCACTAACATCAGACTCAAGTCAAGTGATCTGAGTGATTTGGCAAAATAAACAAAAAGAAAATTTAATTCTCAGGGATTGGCAGGTGGCGTAGTGGTTAAAGGTGCTAGACTCCCACGTGACCAACCACAGTTCAAGTCCTGGACCTGGTGGCTTGCTTTCTCACTTTTCCTCTTTCTCTTCCTCTGTCTCTCTCTAATAAAACTGGAAAACAATAATAATATATAAAGTTAAACAAAATACTTTTTTTAATTAATTCTCCTGAGAATTTTTTTTTTTTTTTTTTGCCACAGCGCATGTGTACTCACCAGAGAGAGATATTGAGAGAGAAAGAAAGAGGGAAAGTAAGAAGTCATCACCCAGGAGCAAATGACCAGACCACAGTCCCTTCTCTTTCATTCTCCTCTCTGGATTTTGGGCACGCATGCACCCGCACCCAGCATGATTTTCAAGTCGCTGGGTCAGGGACTGAAATCATGGTGGGCCATGTAGGGATCCAGTACAGTGACTACCATGACAATTTTTTTTTTTGGAGAGATTTTCGCTATAGGGTGCATGCGCTCGCCAGACAGGCAGAGAGAGACATAGAGACAGAAAGCGAGAAATCACCCCCCAGCTGCAATCCCTTCTCCTCCATTCTCCTCTCGGGATCTTGGGCACGCATGCACACGCACCCAGCGTGAGTTCTAAGCCACCGGGTCCGGGATGCGAACCGCGGTCAACTACGTGGGAGACCAGCGACATAGCCATTACGCTAACTGCTGGTTCCCACTTCCATTACAATTCTGGCAGAGCACAAGGACGTTGTTCATGTTTGGGTATGAACTGAAGAAAATGTAAGTCACCGATAGCTCCAAATCACACACAGCACTGTGTTTTATGAAAACAGTGTTAAGTATTGCACTTAATAAAGTGTGGACACACGTTGGTGAAGACTCATGGTCTTCACCACACAGCAAGGCAGGTGAGGGAGTTGTGGAGATTTAAGCCACACCTAAAAGGTGCGCATTAACCACTGCCTCGGTCTGGGTGCTAGGTTTCTGACCTCACATCCTGCTTTCTTTGCTACTACACCAGTGTTTTTCAAACTTTTTACCGTTATTTACAGTAAAAAAGACAGTTTTGTTCATAACCTAGTTCACACACACACACACATCTGATCCACCTGTGACAGAAATAAAGGAAATAAATGATAAAATAAAATGGCAGTGTTAAAATGCATGCCAGATCACGCCTCCGTGTCCCCAGGTGTCACGGGCTCACACTTACGGCTGTCTGACTGCGGGGGCTGAGCACGCGGCAAGGAGCCTTCCGCTCTGGGTGCATTTCCGCCCATGACGAGCTTTAGGAAGGCAGATGTCACTCCAGGGCTTGGGGCACAGACCTGAGAGCAGTGACAGCTGCTATTTCTGTGTACGTTAGTCAGACCCACATGGAACTCTGGGAGCTCCGAAAGCACTGAATCCACTCACAGCTACCTGGACAGAGGCACGGCCAGGCTGTGCCGGAGCGACGGACATGGGTGGTGAGTCAGCCATGCAGTCCTTGGGCACTCTTTAAGATCATTCATTCCTCCCTTGTACTCATTAAGACATGACCAGTTGTAACTTTTCTTTGACTTAATCATTGCTCTGTAAAGATCATTGCATTTCTTGGGTGATATAATTCTTAGTCTTTCTTTTAGATACTACAAAGTAATGTTTGAGGACACTTAGATCCATAGTCTTTTATGCCTGCAAGTATTGAGTCATTTCTCTGGCATTGTAACACAGAAAATCTCTTCGTAACTCACTTTATTTTAACTGACTAGACTGACCGTCGGCAAAGTCAACACTGAATACACGTCTCCACGTGGCCGGGACCCACCAGTCGCAGGCAGGCATGGCCCCAGGCAATGCCAGTGCTCCGAGTGTCTTCATCCTCCTGGGTTTCTCCGACCTCCCCTGGTTGGAAAAGCCGCTCTTCGCGGTGGTGCTGGCTGCTTACATCTGCACCCTGATGGGCAACGTCTGGGTCATCGTGGTGTCCAGGGTGGACCCACACCTCGGCAGCCCTATGTACTTCTTCCTCTCCAACCTGTCCTTTCTGGACCTGTGCTTCACCACAACCACCATCCCCCAGCTGCTGCTGCCGGACAAGACCATCAGCTATGGCGGCTGTGTGACCCAGTTCTACACGTTCCACTTCCTGGGAGCCACAGAGTGCATCCTCCTGGCCGTGATGTCCCTGGATCGTTACGTTGCTGTCTGCAAACCTCTGCAGTACCCCACCATCATGCACCCACGGTTCTGTGCCGTCCTGGTGGCCACGGCATGGCTGAGCGGTTTGGCTAACTCCTTGGTACAGTCATCCCTCACTGTGCAGCTCCCACTCTGCGGGAACAGCGAGGTGGACGACTTCCTGTGTGAGGTCCCAGTGATGATCAGGATGTCGTGTGCTGACACCACTTTCAACATCGCGATGCTGTCCATTGTGGGGACGTTCTATTCCCTGGTCCCCTTGTTGCTCATTCTGGTCTCCTATGGGTGTATCGTGGCTACTGTGCTCAGGGTTCGGACCACAGCAGGAAAGAAGAAGGCCTTTAACACGTGCGGGTCTCATGTTGTTGTGGTATCTCTCTTCTACGGGCCAGTAATTAGCATGTACGTGGGACCCACTGCTACTCACGCCCAGGCCGAGAACAAGCTCATGGCCCTGTTCTACAGCTTGGTGACTCCGATGCTTAACCCCTTCATCTACACCCTGAGGAACAAGGACATGAAGGGCGCAATGCGGAGGCTTCTCGTGTCACTGTGCCATTGAAGGAGAGAAGACACTTAGCTGTTTCACACCCCACATCCTCACGTGTACTTCAGACTTCAGGCTCTGACATCACCTCTGATCTAACCTCCTTCACCTTGAGCACCCAGGTATGATGTTAGCATTGTACCAAAAACAAAGAGAGAAAGAAGAAAGAAAACAAAGAGGAGAGGGAGGGAGAAAGGGAGTAACCCATACTCAAATAAATGTGAAAAAGCCTTATAATAGCCTTAAAATTTTAAGACGAAAATTAACATATTAAGTGACTGAGAATTCCAGAGGAAACTGTTAAACTACACTTAAAATCTGTCCCAAAGTCCAGCCAGGTGGCATAATGGTTAGGGCGGCTGGATCCCACATGGCTGACTGTGTGGATCCAGTCTCCACACTCAAGACCAGAGGCTTGGAAAACACGCAAAGCAGTGTGTGTGCATGCCCCCAAATCCAGAGAGTAGAGGAGAGAGTAAGGGAGAAGGGGGTGCAGGGGGCCATCACCCCTGGGGTGATCTCTCACCTCCTCTCTCTCTGACAAGTGCCCGTGCTCTACAGCAAAGACAAACAAAAGAACTTCCCACATTTTTTTTTCTTTCTGAATTTATTGGCTTCTTTTTCAGAGTCAATGTAACAGATAGCAGTTTGGAAAATAACTCTGAATCCAGCAATTGTACCCAAAAACATACATGAGCCAAGTCTCTTTTGGTGATAAAATTTGAAATCCATACAGTCGCATCGTTTTTTCATAACACACGTTTCCATTAACTTTTTGAAATCTGCGTATCTTCCCAAGTATTTAAAATCTCAGCAGTACGTGTTACTTGAAGATTTTTAAATCAGTATTCATTAAGCTAATTATTTTATCTTTTATTTGTCATAAATATAATATTTATTACATAGAAGAAAACTAAGTTATTGTACTTTAAGCATTAAAATAGACTGTTACCTCTCTTATGTATATTACTCAATATACCATCTCCTGGGGACCAGCAGTTAGTGTAAGGGCTATGTTGCTGAACTCCCATGTAGTTGACCACAGTTTGAGTCCTGGACCCGATGGCTTAAACTCACGCCGGGCGCGTGTGCGTGCGTGCCCAAGATCCCCAGAGGAGAATGGAGGAGAAGGGATTGCGGCGTGACCATCCACCCTGGGGGGTGATTTCTCGCTTTCTGTCTCTATGTCTCTCTCTGTCTGTCTGGCGAGCGCACGCGCCCTACAGTGAAAATCTCTCCAAAAAAAAAACAAAAACAAAAACTGTAACAGAGCAAGGGGGGAAAGTGTTTTTCTTTTTTTTTTTTTTCAGAATTATTTTATTTAACTTTATTTTATTTTTTCTTTTATTTGACCAGAGAAGGACAGTGCAAGAGGGAAAGAAACAGAAAGTGAAAAAGCAAGCCACCAGGTTTGGGACTTGAACTGCAGTTGGCCATGCTGAAGTCCAGCACCCTCAACCACCATGCAACCTCCCAGCCTAAAAAAGGTGTATTTCTGAAATGAAAAGCAACTTGATTAGTGTAGAAAACAATATGAGTATATTTCTATTTATGTTACTTTTGGATGCTAATCATGCTGAAAATCTGTACAATTAAAAGTTGAGGGACCAGCAGATGGTGTAATGGTTACGTTGCTAAACTCCCCTGTAGTAGACTGCAGTTCAAGTCTCAGACCCAGTGGTTTAAATATCATGCTGGGCGCGAGTGCATGCGTGCCAAAAATCCTCAGAGGAGACTGGGAGGGAAGGGATTGCAGCATGGCCATCTCCCCTGGGGGGTGATTTCTCGCTTTCTATCTCTCTGTCTCTCTCTGGCGAGTGCACACCCTATAGCAAAAATTTCTCAAAAAAATTCAAAGTACTGAGACCAGCAGGTGTTATAGTGGTTACATCACTGGGCTCCCTCATGGCCCACTGTGGTTTGAGTCCCGGACCTGATGGCTTGAAACTCCTATCTGGCAGGCATGCATGAGTGACCAAGATTCGGTGAGGAGAAAACATTGCAGCATGGCCATCCCCGGGGCGTGATTTCTCACTTTCCCTTCAATGTCTCTGTCTCTCTCTGGTGAGCTCACACGCCCTGAAGCAAAAACCTCTACCAACCAAAGAAATTGCAAGCGCTAAAACTTAGTTTTAGGACACACACACAAAGCTTAACACTTTGTCACCAAAATAATTTATATATACCTTTTAATTGCTAGAGGGTGTGTGCACTTACTAGAGAAAGACGGGGGCAGTCACCATGTAGGACCTGCTAGGTTGCATGACCAAGACCGAGTTATAGACCCTGAGGGCCAAGAGTGGCTTTCACAGTTATGTGGTGTTGAATTAGTTCACAGTGACGCTGAGTAGTGAAGAAATAAACACTAAGAAGAACAAGAGGTCATTCGGACTTTTCTGGCATGTGTTCTGGTATGATCAAGATCTCAGCAAATTCAGGACAGATTTTTGCTTCAGTAAAACTTTGAGCACTTTGTTGGAGTCTGCTGTTTTGATGACAACATGAAAATAGAACGATTACTTCTCGTAACCGACTCAGTTTGAGTTCTGTCTAGTGTCCCATCTTTAAACAAAACCACACAATGATTCCCCACAGCCCTGGAACCCTGAGGGTCACAGTCTGGAAAGACGCTGGACTGAGCCTCATCCAGAGGCGTCTGCTGACCTTTGCTTTAGTCGCTCCTGAGCAGCCGTGCTTCCTGCCTCACAGGGATGGCCTGTGCGGCTCTGAGGACATCCCCTGTGTAGAGAAACCTTTGTTAAGCCATCTTAATTTCTGCCTTAAAGCTCTCCCCAAGTGCATTTCCAATGCCAGAGAGACTGAGAGAAAGCGAAAAATCACCCCCAGGGGTATGGCCATGCCACAATCCCTTCTCCTCCATTCCTGGGCACCCCCCCCCCCCCCCCCCCCCACACACACACACACATGTGCCTGGTGTGAGTTTTAAGCCAACAGGTCCAGCACTTGAACCGTGATCCACCATGTGGGAGTCCAGTGACATAACCACTATAATATCTGCTGGCCCTTTATTATTATTATTTTTTAATTTGTCAGAAGTAGTGTGTGCTCACCAGAGAAAGACAGAGAGATGGAGAGAAAGCAAGAAATCACCTCCCTTGGGGGGTGTTCACATTGCAATCCCTTCTGCACTTCTCCCTCCTGTTGGGATTTTGGGCACTCAGACACAGGTGCCTGGCATGCTTTTCAAGTCATAAGTTCCAGGTCTCAAACCTCAGACTCAGCCATGTGGGATCCAGCTGCCTGAACCTCCCCACCACCTGCTGGCCCACAGAAAGAAAATTTTTACCATTTATATTTTCCTATCTTGTGTCTCTCCTCTGCTACTACAGAGTAGATGATAGATATTAGTAGACAGAAAAATAGAGGTCGTGACAAGCTGCAGCTCTAGATATCTCTGCAGGAATAACAGGAGGAGAGTGCCTCAGCCCTTTTCTACATAACTGTCCCCTCAGTGTCTTCCTAGGGTCTTGTTAAGCAGAATAATTATGGTCATTATTCACAGAATGTCCAAAAACAGAATGCCCGTCTAAGACCTATTTCTCACAAATCCTTCCCCTGTTTGTTCTTCTAAGGGGGGGAGACTTGAGGGCTGAGGTGACAGCACCGCGGGGGTGCTGGCACTCTGAGGGTGTACATGGACAGAGCGCTGGAGCCGGGCTATCTGACCCACTGTACCTTTAGGAACAACAGTTCCTTAGTTGTCTCTTTCTTCACACAAAGACAAAACCCTAGAGATCATTTCACTGAGTGAACTAAGATGAAACGCTGGAAACTTTTAAGCGGCTTTGTTGGGTCTAGGGATAAAGTATTCCCCGATGGATGGACCTGCTCTTTGGAGCTGGTGAGAATGAATGAGCTCATCCCTCCTGGCGGAGCCCCTTGCCAGCCCGGCAGGAGCTCCCACGAGCCGCCTGCCTATTGAGAAATGAGTGGATACTTTGATAAACTCCCTAGCTATTTTTCTAGCTTTAAACAACAAATACACTATCCAGATCTGCAGAGATTGCACACACTCCTCTAGGGAGTTTCATGAGCAAATGCAACAGCTCTTTAGTCCCTCCACAGCAGTGAAGGTCAGGCTCCGGACTCCCACTTAGAGTCGCGTAATTACTCTCCATGCAGAACACAACTATTATGAGTAAGTAGGCGATTGTCTAGGGAATTAGGAAGCAAACTGATTCTTTTCTACATTGAAGACAGGAGAAAGGTAAGAAAGTTACAAGTGACCAAAATCCCAGAATGCTGTTTTTACTAATTTTGATGTTTTATTCCCTCACTCATATAAATAATTACTAGAGCATTTTATAAACCTATGTATTTTTCATCTATTCTGTCTTACAAATCTAAAACTAAACGCTTTATGCACAACTAACAGATATCAACAAAAATGGATGGACTCTTCCACATTTCACTCTTGTCTAGATGTTGAAAAGGGGAAGGATGATGGCTGCAGCCTCTGTTGCTGCCAGATTTGCAGGTTGTCACGTTTTGAAAGCCACGAAGCACATGGAGCCTCTAGTAAAACAAGTTTTTCGAAGTTTACCGAAACCCGCCTTCAGTGGTGGCCATTTCAGAGGTGAATTTGAACCTAAAGTGATGAACCGGAAGCCGGGCTAACATCAGGTGTGAGCCAGAGTGCTGACAAAGTGGAACGAGAGCTGCTCCTGGCTGGTTCTGCTTCTCAATAATCCAAAGGAGGGGCTCCTCACACAGCAGCCAGATCAGTGAAACCCAAGATTCACTAGAAGGCCAAGCTAAAAAATAAAGGGAATGCATGATTTTAAGTTAATACTAGTTTACGTATATGACTATCAACTTTTTATGATACAATGCCTCAGAGCTGCATATTTTGTTTTTTTTTTTGGAGAGGTTTTTTTTGCTATAGGGCGCGTGTACTCCCCAGACAGACAGAGAGATAGAAAGCGAGAAATCACCCCCCAGGGGGGATGGCCACGCCGCAATCCCTTCTCCTCCATTCTCCTCCCGGGATTTTG